TGAATGACTGTGAATACAGAGATCGCATGATGAATTCGTGCTGCTAAGATGACAGCCTGGTCACTTTAAGCATGGCCTTCACGATTTCAACGTATCCCTCCTGCAATGGATCCAATTTTCTAATTGTAAAACAATGCAAATATGAATAAGCTAAATATGTTGATTTTGTGAATGAATGATATGTTGCCAAATATTGCTTTTTTAGATAGTTAATCATACATTTCAATATTTTCGTGCATTTAAATTATATTATTATAATAAAAATAATTTTTTATTAATTTAAATAAAATAATAAAATATAAATTTTCAAATAAATATTAGAGAATTTATATTTTTTACTTTTTTTTATACATGAAGATTTTGGATTTAGGGATGTGAGTGAGAATGAGAGCATTTTTCAGTATAAATCCGAATAGTACATTTCTGATTGCATTGCAGAAAGTTTTATTTAAAAGACAAAATAATCTTTCAAATTCAAATTATTGACTCAGAAATTTGAAGTTGCATAGTGTGAAGGTTTTTTTTTTTGAAAAACACATCAATAAAGATGCTTGCAATTAGTATATCATATATATATTCAAATTTTATATGATAGCTTAAATTTCATCATATACATTTTGTTCACTAAACGTTTTGTGCTTAATTGTTTTGATCTATAATTGATTAAAATGTTGAAAAAAAAATTGAAAAATATGAACAATTCTTGAAAAGAAATATATCTATGTTTTAAGTTTTATTTCATATTTTTATCTTATATTTAGTGTAATTAATGAAAATTTGGATTAGGATAATATCTATGGACATCATAAATTAGTTCTCAATCAAATATATATATATATATAATTAATAATTTTTTTTGTAAAAAATTATTTCTGGATGTAAACTACATGGTAATTAATATTATAGTCGAAATTCATTTCGAAAGAAAAATCATGATGTTTTAGAACTCAAATGATACAAACATTAAAAGTGAATATGATATTTTTGTTTGAATTATTTGTTGTTTCTAAACATTGAGAGCAATCTTTCAAGAAACTTTTGCAAGCAAAGTCATTATTGTTAGTGGTGATGATGGTTTATTTGATTGTCAAACAAATAACGTTAGGTTATTTGTATTTCACATTATTTATTTGATTAAAATCACATTCATATCTAAAAGTGGGGAAAGAGCATGCACCGTCTTCAATCGGATCTCGTCATTGAAAAGTGTGAGGATCAAGGGAGCGACAATATTCTATCTCAAAAAGCCTGCTCCTCCCTACTCTGCGATTGGACAATGGTATTAGAAAGTCAAGTAGATCTTGACTTTCAACCAACAGGATACACTGAATGCATCAGTGTGATGATACACTCCATGTCATCACCTGACAACGAACATGTCAAAGTTCATCTTCTATTTTAATCTATGCAAGAAAGTGGATGATTCTGACAACTCAGTGGCACATGCGCTGTAGGCCTGGTTGACAATGCCTCTTGTGCTTTCTCTTTTCTTTAAATATCGGTACAGGAGTCTATATAACTTTACATACTTGTAGGTTCGGAACAAACTGGTAAGCTATCTGGAAGTTTACTAAACATAATCTCGAATAACTTTGAACAGAGTAGAAGCACAATCGAGGTTCTCGATTGCTGATATGATTTTTCTTCTAGCTCAACTGTCAAGCATGTGAGCTCATGCACAGTTCTAGTTTCCAGAGTCTCGAGTCCTCTACACCTCAAACATGAAATTGATTTCGAATTTCGTCCATGCTACGAGCACTCTTGCTTGTTTATCGCGTTTTATAGAAGTTGATAGAACCAGCATGATACTTGCTGAGCTCAACGTCAAACCTCTCAAGAAACATTTTTTCCAAGTTGCTTGCAAATCAAGGGAAACTGTGCGGTATACATGACTTCAGAAATAATTCTGATGCTAAATGCTAGATAATAGTGATTCTTCAATCCAATTAAGAAAAAAATTTAACATGGTTAAGTCCATCATTGTTCTTGTTTATAATTCTATTTACAACTGTGCAAACGACAATTTCGTTGATCATGTCCGTGACAAAAGCAATAGCCTCGTCCATTGAACGCTCAAGATTGCTGCAATCTAACCATAATTTCTTATTACTCTGCATGGGGTAATGTGGAGTCAATGAATCACCCGAGAAAGTGTTATTCGGAATGATTTATGCACAAGATGTATATTGAATATACAAGTTAATCCACCTAATTTGTCTGCTACTCTACAGGGAAGGCCACCTAATCTATCTTGCTCATGCACGTGAAACATAACAGGCACATATTATCATAAATACAATTGTAGAGCAACAGCTTCCAATTGGAGCTTAGATCACTCTTAAACTAAGCAGAGATCTTATCCATAACATAATTTGATATTATTGGGTTTAAGATAAGGACATCCCGAGCTATAATTATACTTTTTCAGTCTTATAACTGCAATTCACATTGTCACAAAAGTCCACCTGGTTAATTGGTACGAGTACATTACTATTGCCTACTAGACATTTTGTTCAAAAGAGGTGTCAAACATGAAACATATCATACTCCCAAATATTAAAAAATCAACATAGTTGTGACTGCACCAGCTAATTCACTTAACACACATTTCAAGTCAGCTCCATCAATCTCAATGAAATCTGTTAGATCATGAACACAAAGAAATACTCATTGACTCTTAAACCAATGAGATGAAATCTTATTTCACTATGCATTACATTAGTTTTGGATTGATGGGACGGCAAATAAACACATGAATTGTCTATGTGTTATTTTCATTAACTCTATTTCTTAACTCACAAGCAGAAAGATGGTAGATATGTTACTTCACGCTTAACAGATACTCTGTTCTATTCATGTATTATTATTGGATTCTAACTGTTCCCGCAGCTATAATGCCAAAATAATGTAGATTACAGGCTTCGCCTGACGAACTCACGCACCAGGGGATGGTCGAGAAGCAGCCCAGTGCCCGCAGATGGGCTGCCAATGTGCGAGTGGGAGATTCCTGGACGGCTTCTGACGCCACCGATGAGTGAGTGGTGTGCGAGTGTGCGAGAGGTTCATATCTGCTTCGCGTTTATCGCGTAGAGTTGAAAGATCGATCCTCCATTAACTCGCGGCGAATGGAAATGGAAGAAATCGGTGGCTTCTGTGGAACAGAAGGGCCTCATTGTGCATACCCCTCACTGTTTGTGATTGACAATTCCTCTCGGTCCTGCTGCGAGAGCTCCCTTGGTAGCGAAGGTTTGATTGCCCTTTCTGAAACCAGAGACACCATTATGTCGTAAGATTGCTGTTTTCGAGAAACTGCGGTGGCAGCGATTTCCGATGCATAATTCCATCAATATCACGGAGAGGCTGCACCTCTTCAGTCTCTGTGTGTTTTGCAAATCTCTGGTCATTTATGCGCAGTTTCTCAGGACAAATTCAAGGCCGTGTCAGGACCCATGTGACCGAAGACCTGAGAATACTGAAGCACGCTGACAATGGAAGACTTGTGGCAGCTGTAAAACTCTCATCTCCTGCTGCAAATGTCTTTCATGCTCTACCCTGAAGCTTCGCTCTTCCCTGTGAGTGAGCTTTGATTGCCCTTTCTGAGACCAGAGACACCATGATGTAGTAAGATTGCTGTTTTCGAGAAACTGCGGTGGCAGCGATTTCCGATGCAAAATTCCATCAATATGACGGAGAGGCTGCAAATGTCTTTCTTGAAGGAAACCTCCACTGAGTGGTTTGTCAGCGTCTGGCAAACAACGCGCAGCATCAGCTGTAGATTGCCTGTAACCCGGAGCAGGCAAAATGTGGACGGTCGGCATACAATGGAAATTATTCACCCAAGTGTTTGTAAATGATGAACTGAGGCTTTGGATGAACCACATAAGATTGTAAATTAGAGTTATAGTAAGGGTCACAGGTTAAAACCTGTTTGAGTGAGTCGAACTCAAATCTTCGGCAATATTCCTCGAACTGCGGACAGACGCAGATGCTCCATAGAAAATAATGATTGTGTTCAGAACGTAGACGGAGATGGCAGTGGTGATCAAAGATGACAGAGTCGGATAACAGACAGCTAAGGTGACAGACTGACTATTCACCAGATAAAAGCTCATAGCATCACCAATCCCGCCACCAGAAACACGTCTGCTGCCGTTTCTGCAGACCTGTGCGAAGTTGCCAGGCCCGCCAATAATTAGAATAATTTTCGAGTATAAGAAAGCAAAGTTTCACAAACTCTGCATCATCCTCAACCTCAATCACAGGACCAACATTTGACAAAGTCGTCCGCGCGGCGGGGTTCATCTCTTCAAGGGACTGCCGCTGCAATGCCCGACTCGTGTTTTAAAGTACAGATTAGGAAAGTCCACGCCCGCGCATCTTGAACACTGCATGACGTGACGTCGGAGCATGAAGACATCCGAGATCTGGTTCGGCAAACTAATTGTACATTGCAGTGAAGCTCTGGATCTAGCTCAAGTTGATTGAGGTTGATGTGAAGAATTGGAAGGAAGCTTTCTGGCCTATTTTAAAAAGGTATAAATTATGTGGATTGACCGTATGAAATAGATTACTGATATTTTTCTCCTTTCATCTCATCGCCATGACTATGATCGTTATTGTCTCTGATCTCGGAAGACTATTTGGGTTAGCGAATTTTGTTCTAGACGTGAAGAGTCTCTGTAGCTAAAAGTCCACGCACAGTCCAATAGCAAGAGATTTGGTGCCACTATATTCATTATACACGTGACAGTTCTGACCGTGCTAGTGATTTGAAATGTGCTGAGATCACTGCCAGCACAAGCATGTTACCAGGTAGCGTGAAGAATACGGAATAGCGTGAAGCATGTTATTTGTAGCGTGAAGAATACGGAAGGGAAAACTCTCATAACACATCCACAATTTATGCTCCACGTAAAGATTCTCTTGAACTCAACGTCCACACGCAGTCCAATTGCAGAAGCATTCGTGCTTCGATAGTACCACATTTATACACGTGACAGTTCTGAGCGTGCTGGCGATTTAAAATGCGCTGAGAACCCCGCTATGAAACAGCATGTTATCACGATGTCGCACCAAGAATACCAAACGAAAATCTCTAATAATCGCCCAGTCCTTGCCGGAAACGTAAGACTTACCTCAGTTAGAATATAAAGCGACACTTTTATAAGCCAGTGCTGCACCCTCTGATCATTTGATTTCGGAACACTATGGGACTCAACCGTGTTTATCCTGTTTCTGTCACAATAGAACCTTGCTATTCAGTAGGTTCTGCAAGGTGTGGTGGATGAGAGGAGCTTCATCTGATGAACCCAGTTTGTACCTTGAGCTTCGGTTTTTTGCACCTTATTTCTAATTTGAGTAGCGGGCAGTTTCGCGTCTTTCTGAGTTACCTATGAGCACATTAATTTTCAGGAAGTCCTTTGTTTCTCGTCCGGAAGATCTGACTTAACATTAGGACTTCTACCCAAACGCATGATGAAGATTATCTGCTTGCAGGTACAAGCGCAAGCTTCACCAGTCAAAGAACGTCCGAACGAATGTCCGAAACCTGGAAAGCGAGAGGGTACTGAAACCTTGCCAAGTGGAATAGTGGAGGCTACTTCAGACCTTGAACGTAGACACTTATGGAAGGTTTCCGAAAACGTAAGAACGTGATCTCCTCACTGTGGTAGATTCGCTTCATCAGATCTACTGTTGTTTTTCTACTGTCTAACTCAATTGTTTGTTCAATTAAACTGCTCAGTCAAACCGCTTTCTAATTTGTCAGACGCTTTTTTCTGGCTCAGCGCTTCTCATTATTTCGTTGTTGGTGCATATGGGTCAAAATTATCACAATATGGAGCTTTTATTGATCTAGACAGGAGCAAATGAGCAGTACATCCCTCAAAAAAACTGATGAACTCTTGAAGGTCGTTGTTTTGTGTGCAGGATGCAGCCATGTCTCAAAACCTTCTTGCTATGGCTGTTGGTATCAAGCAGAAAAGCAATGTGGATAAAATTATCCAGAAGGTGCATTTTCAGATTATACGTATTCGATAAGTAGTTAAAACATTTGAATTCTGGTGAAGTGGTTTATCTTTATCAAATCCAAATCTGGATACAGATGGTTGTGATAAAGATAACCAACAATCAAAATGAACATTCTGTAAAGGAATGTTTTCGTAATCGCAGCTTTCTGCATGTAATTTTGAAAAATATCAATCTTGTCCAGACTTACGGTGTGGATACCATTTTCATCTTGTACATTATCCATGATGCCTATGTAGATCTCACTAGCTCTCTAACAGTTCCCCGCAGACAATTTTACGATCATGCTCTTCCACTACGATGGACAAGTAGACGCGTGGATGGATATGGAGTGGACTCCTCAAGCAATTCATGTAATGGCTGCCAATCAGACAAAATGGTGAGCACATTTTTTTGCCTTTCGTAACCAGGAGTCAAACGATTGTAGATTGAATGGAGCTCTATTTGATAGTGAAATTCTGGTCTCACGGAACCGATCTCGTCATAAGTGGATTTTCTTGTTTCGGTTGGATCGTCTTTGTTCTAATAGGGAAGCACTTAGAGAAGGTTCCTTTCTGTTCGGAATCATGTTATTCATAAATATCCAAAGCTGTCTCATCCAACTCTGACATGTTCTGCATGGCCAAGGAGTAATTTTTTTTTCTGCAGAATTTTGAGCTACGTGATACCTGTATGTATTTAGGCTCTGGCTCAACACCAGGAGGTCTCATTTATTTAAATCGATAGCCAACTTAATAGACTACAATAGAGTGGTTGGGACGTCACTTGGTTGTTGATTCGTCTACGTACTTAATTCCAAAACAACCAATTTTTAAATAATCAATTTGAGCACATCTCTGGGTAGGTGGTATGCCAAGCGGTTTCTGCACCCGGACATCGTCGCGAGGTACAATTATATATTCCTCTGGGACGAAGATCTCGGGGTGGAAGTTTTCCACGCTGACAGGTATGAAAATACTGTAACATCGTCTTGTTTTGCTTGTTTTACCGGTTGGAACGTTGTTAGCCCATTTGCAGTGTTATCTTTGTAAGGAAGTGATTAAGCTTCTAAGTAACCACCCTGAAGTACAACTGTTGATTCATAAATCAAGAAATTCATGAACTTAACTGGTGTATGCTCTCGTTCTACATTTCAGCTGGTTAAGGTTTGTACTTAAAAGTTTGCAGTACAAGAGATATCATCCTTGTGCAACCTCGGGCCTAAACAAAGTTCTTGTCATCGGCGACAGATATCTAAACATCATGGAAGATGAAGGACTTGAGATTTCTCAGCCTGCCCTCGCTTCAAGCTCTTCAGAGGTTCACCACATTTTAACTGTACGCCAACCCACAGAGAGAGTTCACAGGCAAGAGCAAATTCTTATTTGTCAACTAGTCTGATCTCTGATAGCAGGGTACAGATGCTAACATGATCTATTCTATCAAAGATCATTGCTCTTCTTTAGACCCTGAGTATTAGCGGCCTGTCTGTTGCTTTGTATTTATATGTATATGCATATTGCTCCTGTCAGGTTTGAACCTGAGGACATTTCTCGTTGAGTATGTTTCTTCATTTATGATACATGAACGTTTCTGATCATCTGAATGTAAATGCAGACGCTTGATAACAGGAACTGGATGGAACTCATGTAACGCCAATAGCACCGGTCCTCCGTGTACAGGGTAAGTGGAGATTAGTATCAAAAGCATGACATTGTCTATCATCTTCCGTGAGATCAGGCCTGGTTCGGGAAAAGATCTTCTGAAAAAAATCCTGGTCTTATGGAAATCTGGACTTTTCTGACTGATATTTCTGGGTTAATATGATGGCTCCAGTGTTTTCTCGGGCTGCGTGGAGGTGCACTTGGTACATGATTCAGGTTTGTTTAGCTCTGCATTGGAGTCTTCATTAATCATGAAGTTGAGACAACGATGTTAGAGTATGTAAATTGAAGCAGCCCTTTTTATGCTGGAGCTGAAGACAAACCTACTTGTGAACTTTGGAAGAAACCTACCGGTTGTTGATCATAAGAGGCTGACTGCAACGACACGGTGATAAAAATACTAGTTCTTTGTTATCATCAAGAGCGGTGTGGAGATTTGTCCAACCTGCTTAAGGGAAAACCATGAACTGTTGCCAGTCACCTATTTTGTTAAAATCGAATATACCACTTCGTCCTCAAAGCACACTAGCTCTCATATATCGTCAGTTGAATATTTCTCATGTGTATTCCAATTCAATCTCTGAACTCTTTACATCTGGTTTAGACTATGGTTGCTGTTCGGGTTCAGTTTATTTTTCGCGCAGCTCCTTTCCGTGGCCTGAATTTGACTTCACTTTTTGCTGAGCAGAATGACTTAGTTCATGCCTGGGGTCTAGACTACAAGCTTGGTTACTCTGCCCAGGTACATCTCTGAACCCCTTGGTATCAACTGCTTTTTTTAAATATATATGATGGGTGTGGGTTTTTGGTAAACTCTGCAAGAAGTGGCATTCTATCTTCTCGAATAGAGATGTGAGTGATCGAGTAGCGATCATGATTAATTTGCTATCTAGTCGTGAAATGATTTTAGAACTATATCACAGGTCTCCATAATGGCACTCATAATCTTTATTTTCATTTTTAAGGGAGTTCGCAGTGAGAAAGTGGGTATCATCGACAGTGAATATATTGTTCACGAAGGCATTCCCTCCTTGGGAGGTCAACCTCATGACAAGGTATGCTTGTGAGGATGAAGTTCTTGTGCAATTTTTTGTCGGCGATGGAAATCACGCTTTGCTCCAGTAACTTTTTGATGATTGCAGTTTCAAGAGTATGGAAGTTAGAACGATTCAGTGATCGGTCTGACTAGGATTTCGAGTTTAAGTGACAAGCCCTACTTTTTGCCCAAGGTAATCTAAACCTGTAGCGCACTCAACTTGGAATCTGTGACAGACTGCAGAGAGTCAAACAAATCTGAGGACTGCTAACGTGCTTGACGCTAGCCTCCTGGTATGTTTCTACATGTCTGCGGTCGAGACTTTCCTTTTTCCTGGGCCTGAGAACCTTTCGCTCAGAAGATTTTATTTAAATTCAGGTTTAGATTTTATTTATTGGACTTTCTCTAAGAATGGGTCGGAACTTAGTCAGCAGTTTGATACAAAGTGTGCAAGTAGCAGCCCCACAAGAACATGCATTTTGATTCAGGCGGTCTGTAATCTTCAATCGTGATCTTGACAATGTTTTCTATTCAGCACTCCATATGCCTTATGTAAGGAAGACAATGATCTCGTTTCTTGAGTAAAACGAGATAACGGTTGATTGAGAGGGCCTCGAAATGACCTTGATCCTCAAGTGCTTCCATCTGCTATTTATTGATCCAGTGATGAAAGGGAGAGACTATTTTGAGGACACTTCATTATGAAACACACATTGATATACAACGAATATATCCCGATGTATTCGTTGTTGTTGGTCACCATGTGCCAGCCTGTGTGGAGGTCTTCTCAATGTGATTCTCCGTTTTACGTTAAGTTCGATCCCTGTTAGTGACATGGAATGATGAGTAAAGATGATATAGTGAGCGTCGTATCTTGACATTCCTATGTTGTACCGAATGAAGATCCAGAGCAAAGAAAGGAATTATCCCAGAAGGTTTCATATCAGATACTTCGAAGAAGTAAATCGAACCAACCGGAGGTGGTTTGTGAAATGAGCTGAATATGCTAGCAAGCATCTTGCCGCTATTTGTCTCATTCTCAAAGATACGACGAGGTTGGAGTATTTGAAGTCTAAGACTGGTGTAACCTTTTCTCCTGACCTCTGAGATTGGCTAGTAATACCACAAGAGAAAACCGGGGTCGAACCAAGTGCCTACATCCCTATGGGTCAGATCTCTAGTGTGTCCTGAGTAGAGGGATCGAGGTATTTTATGGAGCAAGGAGTATGACTGAGAAAGCAAGGTCAGGGACTTTTACTCCATATCTTAGTATATACATTGACTACTAACTAGAAATCGAACGCATCTCGAGTTTGGTTTAGACCACATTGCATAAATGGCAGTACTGTCTGAGTACCTGCAAACCTGAGAAGATTCCGCTTTACTCTTAGATCTCCTGAGCTTCTGTCTCCCAAGGAGCTACAGACAGGACCGTTTGTTCAGGAAGCCTGAAGGTACAGGACTGTCTATGCCGAGGAGAACTTATGGACTAGAGAATGAGTGCACACAAGCCAAGAAATGTACTACGTAAGCCAGACAAAACCAGTGATCTTAAAGGCCACTTCAGCATGTTGGAATATCTTCCGCAGGCGAACCATGTTCCGGAGGGGGTTGTCCTTTGAGCTAATGCATTTGTAAACCATGCATGAGATGGTTCCTCTCGAGTGGCGCTAATATTTCATACTCCCCGCTCTTGTTGTTTTACAGGATCCCGACGCTGTGGACACTCGAGGAGAGGTCAGTTTTGACTTTCTGGCTTCTGTTCCCTCGTTCTGTATTGTTTTGATGTCTTGTACGGATATCTCTGATGGTGGCATTCGATTGTCCATTCTGGCCTGCAGATTAGAAATAGATCTAAAGTTGAGCTGCAAGCGTTCTCACGACGATGGAGAAGAGCAGCTGCAAGCGATCCAGAATGGATGGATCCATTCAAAGTAGAGCTTCCGTCCGAAGAAAACCATTACGCTGTTGAAACCAAGCCAGATGGAAGGTGATTTATATTTGTCCTCCACATATTATCGGCTAGAGATGAAAGCATGATATGATAGTAATTGCTAGAAGTAATTGTTCAACAACATCCTTACGGGAGATCTAATCCAATTATTTCATGTTGGCGCAGATTTGCTCCAGTTGATCCGCCGGCAAAGCAAGCCAAGAAAGCCTCGAGAAATAAAGCCAGAGGACCGAATAGGACAGGGTAATGGAAACAACCTCAAAGGAGCTGATCATTTTTCCTACACTGCAGAGGCCGTAAGAGGTCAAGCGGGCGCCAGATGCTTTTTCTGTCGCTTTAAGTAGGGGTGGTATAGCGTAATGCTCCGTCCTTATATTGTACAATTTACAATTGTCTCATGCACCTCATCGTTGCGTTCACTTTGAGCTCAGATGGCTACTGTCCAGCGAAAATGAACGGAGCATATATCTTCTGTGTTAGGACTCAATTGCTTCTATATGCTACCTTCGGTTTAGATTTAGGTCGTCAACGCTGATATAGCTAAGAGGGGTCCTTTCAATGCAACTCAAGGATATTATTAGGAACAGGACTGTCACCGAGATCGACTGAGCGGAAGGAACTCGATTTAAAGATTTTGAAGTGGAAAGACCTCCAGACTCTGGAACTAGAACTGTGCATGCGCTCACATGCTTGACAGATGAGCTAGAAGAACAATCACACCAGCAGTGGAGAGCCTGGAGTACTGGTATCTTCAGGAAACTTCCACACAGCTGATTGGTTTCTTCTGAAGCTAGAAGTTATAGACTACTGTCCCAATATTCAAAGCAGCAAAAAAACGGAACATGCTTTGTCCACCAAGATGACGACGCATGTGCCGCTCAGTCCTCAGAATACATCAACTTGCTCGAATGGATCAATAACGAAGGAATATGGTGAGGAATGAATGTCTTAGATAAATATATCACATATGCAATCTTTGTGTTTACTTATTCATAAATTTCCATCCCATTGATCCAAAACAAATGGAGTTGATGATTGTGTGAAGATTTTTCTCCTTGTATAAATATGTATATAGATATATATGAGAAAAATAGAATTCATATTTTTTCAACCAAATTTTGTGTATTATCTTTTTATTAAGTTTATTTCTTTTATTTATAATGGATAACATGGAAAAAAGTTATTTTGTTACTTCTTTGAGTGTAAGTGATCTCTCATAATATTTCAAAAAACAAATGATGTGTTTTAGAGTTTACATGACCTTCATGACGTACATACTACATGAAGGTTATTGATTTGCACATAAAAAAAATTTGTACTTTAAAATAAAATATTAAATAACAAGTATGAAGATGATGTATAAAAACTAAAAATAAAAGGTTTGAATGATAATCTTTATATAATCTTCAATTTTTTTTCATCTAAAATATATTTATATTCTATTGTACATGTATTGCATTGTATAAGTCATGACCTATATGATAAAATCTATTACATTACTAATATTATCAACTTATAGTTAGCAAAGATTTCAAATTCCACTATTTACATTGAATGATACAAACATTTATATTGTGAATCATGTGCTTAGATTTGATTCAACATGTATATGAAAGTTTCAACGAATTACTCATAGAAGAGAGTGTTTAGACAATTTTGTATGAAAAATTATGATGAAAAATCTATAGAGGTATTTTATCATCATTAAATTGTAACTTTTGTGATTTTTTTGGCGTTAGATTTTTGTCATATTTACGTTGTATTCTTGTGAGTGAAGTCATGAAGACATGGTTTGATACAAATGAGATTTTAAGCGCAATCAAAGCTGATATGAAACATTTAAATATTGTGATGATAAAGGAATATATAGAGCAGCACAACATAGTTAATAAGATTTCTGTATTATAATCAAACTAGAGAGAATGAAATTTTGATCACAAATATAAATATAAATTTATTCAATTTCCATATATTTCGATTTGTTGCAAATTGAAATGAGATTTTATTCCATGCAATTGGCTCCTTCTTCATACATTATGTGACAATGACACGTTTTGATTTCAGGATCTAGAATGTTAGAGAGATTTTTGACTTTTACAAAAAAATAATTATTTCAAATAAAAAAAATAATTATTTCAAATAAAAAAAATAATGATATGTGGAAAGAAGGAAAATCATTTATAAAAAAATTTGATTTTCCAAATACATGTTTTCTGTGGTACCCCACTTTTGGTATTTTTGAGGGATTTAAAACATTTTTGGAAAACTGCACCGCGGCAGCAGTGTAAATAGCCATCGGTGCATCAAAATAGAGTGAAACTGGAGGATCTCGGAGAATCTCGAAAGATCTCGTAGAATCCAGGAGTTGGGTGCAATGTCTGGGACAGGCGCCGCCCTAAACACGGGCTCTGAAGGAGTCCCCCTTCGGCGCAAGGCGCGAAATCCGCCTTCGGCGCTAGAGAAATCCTTCAGAATCTGATCAATTCCCAAACGCCTCGACTTGGTTAGGGTCTCGTTGGAAAGAGCTCAACGCGCTGATTCTAACGAGCCCAAGAACGCCACGAACGGAGGAGGACTCCGGGAGTTATGAAGGTCGCAAGATACGCAGATTCTCGCCTACTCGTAGGCGAGGAAAGTTTGTCCTATGCGCGGACGAGGGAAGTCCGCCTACGCGTATGCGAAATAGGGTTTAACGACGGCGGGATGTCCGCCGCGAATGTTGTCTACTCGTAGGCGGGGAGGAATGACACCTATGCACAGGCGAACGCGAAGGCCGCCTACGCACAGGCGCTTCGGCGTCGGCGGGAAGCCCGCCTTCGGCCCTAGAAATGCGCCTTCGGGGTTGGAAATTGTACGGCGCCTTCGGCGCCAGCGCATCGCAGACGGGCGAGGACCCAACGGAGTAGTAAAATCCGTACGGACCGTACGGACTGTACAGACGGGACGGACGAGTGCGCCTTCGGCTGGTCAGGGTTACGGGGACAAGAGCGCCGACAGAAAGGCGAGAGAAATGGACAGACTAGACGGAGTCCGTTGACCGCAGTCAACGCCTTCGGCACAGCCGCCTTCGGCGCTGCGCCCACGGCGCAGGACCTGCGCGGACGAACGTCTGATACGCGGACGGAATTCGCCTACGTGTAGGCGAGCGCCTACGCATAGGCAGATGAAGTTCTGCGCTGGCGGAGATTCCGCCGGGGATTCCGCCTACGCAGAAGGGAGTTCGATTTTTGTCCTATGCGCGGACGATCGCCTTCGGCGGAGCGGGACTGGCCAAAGTTAAGTACGAACAAATGTGGCGCGCCGGCGAGAAATCCGCCTTCGGCGCTGCGCACCCATGTCCGTGGCGTAGTACGCTAGCGGAGTTCAAATTGCCAATTCGAGCGTGTGAGTTAAGTCGGCGTCGGCGGAGCGTGAAGGCGCGCGTGAGAGAGGAGGCCGTTATAGCGCGGAGCCGGCGCGGCCATCAAGTGATCCGACCTTCACGACCAAGAGCCGACCATGACCTTCAACAAGGAGACGGAGAACGCATCATTCTTAAATTCGCGATTTCACTTTCTAGTGCGAGCTGCGCGCGTCCACCTGCTAGCTGTTAGACACTCTAGACATCGCCGCGCGGACAATTACTCGGTGGCTGAGAGAGAATTGAGTGCGCGCGATTTGGAATTGAGAGAAATTAGAGTTTGCAGAGGAGGCAGAAGCGCGAGCAAGAAGCTCGAGCAGAGCAGAGAGAGAGTTGCTGCGCCAGTTGATTTCAAGAACGCAATGTCGAGGTTGAACAGGCTGCGGATGATGCCACTCCGGCTTCCACAGAACGGGTTGCGGGCTTTTGAGGAACGGCTGATTGCAAGAAAACTTGATTTCTTGCTGTGGGGGTGGAATTACGTGTGTGTAGACATGGTGCGCGAATGGCTGGACGCGGAGCGACAACCTACGCGCGGATTGCGTCCGCACGTAGATAGGTGGACCGTCCACGATTGGGCACAGGCATTGGGGAGGTGTGCCGGCAATGACGGGTACCTCCTGTTTGATAGTGAGAGCGTCAAGGTGTCGAAGCAGGACGAAGCGCAATTCGTGGAATTGTTCAAGCGGGGGAGGTCTTCCAAGAACGGGTACAAGACCCGCGACTACAAAGATCGTTTCCGCAGGATTGTAGCGGCGGCGCTGCTGCAATTGTTGCAGCCGCACCGCACTTCGTACATCACGTTGTGGCAGGTGTCGTTTGTGGAGCTCACATTAGCCGGAGCTCCAGTTCACTTGGCGCGCATCCTACATAGGGTGATGCGACAGCACGCATATGAGGAGAAAGGAGGAACTCTCAATCACCTCTCCCATTTCTTGATAAACTTTTATCGACAGAGGAATTGTTTGACCACGGCGGAGCTTGCTCGTTTTCCGCCATTGTCCGTCGACCATCCCGGGAAGTATGTGCGGGATAACGAAGTCGACACCGACGCAGAGGATTCGCCAACTTCTACTCCACCGACTCAGCGGGACGAGGGAAGAAACACGCCCGCAGCAAGAGTGCCGTGGAAACGAAGATGGAGAGAGGAACCGGAGGAGGAGCAACATCGAGAACCCACTGCTCCCATACGGCAGGGGCCACTGCACGAAGTGTGCAGCAGGCCGAAGAAGAAGGCGCGCAGGCTTGTGTTACCAGCCAGCATCGCAGACACGGCGACGATCGCCACGGAGAAGCGAAGTGCGTCCCCGGAGAAGGACGGGAGTGCGCGGACGTCCTCAGGAGCGGTGGACCACGCTACGTCTCCGGCGGACGAGAGACGGCCTTCGGGTCATGTGGTAACACACTTTTTGTTTTTTTTGCAGAATTTAAACAATTTTAGAAAACTAGTACCGAAGCAGTGTCTGTAGTTAGAAAAGGGTACGTTTAATCGAGTGGATTGAGGAGATCGTCACGAGGTCACGAAGAATCGCGAAGTCGGATGTACCAGCGCCAAATGTCTTCGGCGCCTTCGGCAAAAGCTCCTTTTCTGAGGTGTCTCTACTCAGGCGCTTCCACCGTTTAAGGAAGCTACGCGTCCGGCGCAGACACCTCCGGAGGAGATTTTGCTAAAGACGTCAGAAGAACGGCACGGACCTCTGAAGGCTTCCGACCATGAGTGCGCCTTCGGCGATGCGCCGCTAGCGCGGAAAGGGAAACCTTCATAACGATCGGAATACACGGTAGTTCCAATTGATTGAAGTTGCATTGGAAAGAGCTCGGGACGCTCGTCCTAACGAGCCCAAGAGCGTCGGAGATGGATCAGGGACGAAGAAGTTATGAGCATCGGAAAACTCGTAGCCGGACATGCGCCGTTCGCGCTAGGGTTCACAGTCGGAAAGGACTCCCGTACGCCTTCGGCGATGCGCCTTCGGCGGAATCGCGCGCTCATGGGAGGAAATCAACTCAGAGTCGGAAGCGCCTTTGGCGGCTGCGCACGGAAGAAAAGCGCCGGCCGGATGTACGCCTCCGACGTGGCGCTGATAGGCGGATGCGCTGGCATGATTTGCGCCGGCGGGATATGCGCCGTCAGCAAAAGACGAAGCAGAACGGACAAAACAAGTGGTACGAATACGCGCCGGCGTAATTCGCGCCGACTGGATGTGCACCTCCAGCAAGGCGCCGACGGATAAGGAACACGCCAGCGGCGGCACGCCTCCGGTGATGGTCGGGTTAGGAAAAGACAACATAGCCGACGTATACACTGCGGCGAACTCGAGTCCGGAAGACGGTGGCGGCGGGAGAATTCAACATTCACGCATGCGAATGCGCGCAGTGCGGAGACGTGAATTCGAGCATGCAAGGGCGAACCGTTAAGCCGTATAGCCGGCTGCGTAAATTGTAACCAGTAAGAACGTTGGACGATCTTGAATTCGGA